GGGTTGGAATTTGTTCAAAGAGGTTCGTAGGCACCTCTCGCTCCGCCACCGCCCCCGGAGCCTCCACCGCTGACAGACCTCCAAACGTGGGAGGCGGCATCTTTGGCGATGTATGGGCTCTCCCTCCAAAAGTCCCTGTGAGGGATCAGATCCCAGCCCGAGGCTCCGTATCGGTTGTAATTGTTGTACATGCCGACGCCAAAGTAGACGGCCAAACCGCCAAAAAGGATGAAGAAGAACCAGTTGAAAAAACCCCAGGAGGAGGAGGAGGAAGAGGGAGCGCCATCCCCTCCCTTCTCCGGCTCCTTTCCCTTCCCTCCCTCTCCGCCACTACCACCACCATTCCCGCCTTGGTTGTTGGTGGAGCAGGCGAACTTGGTTGGCCACCTCATCTCGAGTTTTCCGTCTTTCCTGTCGTACTTTCTCGCAGTGGGGGTAGCGTCATCTTCCGAGACCTTTTGATCGCAGACCATCTCGAGCTCGAGCGACTGCTGTTTTCCAGCGTACATGTCTCCGGTGAATTCCAGCTTGAGCGAGGTCTCACCACCTTCGAGCTTGTCCCCCTGCTCTGCCTCGACCCTCATGCTCTTGTGGTCCCCAGAGGATTTGGGGAAGTCTCCGGCGACAGGGATGGCTTGGATTAGCATCTCCTTACCCTCCTTGATTGAGGAGATGAGGATGCAGACCCTAGTCCCCTTGGGACACTGGTCCGTCTCCGGTAGCTTTGAATCGATCTCCAACTCTTTGCAGAGGTTGATCTGGATCGAGGTCTTGGTCTCGGAAGGCGGGGTCGACTCCGTGTTGGAGGTGGTAAGGGGGAAGGGGATCTTGGAGAGGTCGTAGATGGGAGAGGAGGAGGAGGAGGAGGTTGTCACCTTGGAACAGTCAAAAGGGGAGAGCACATACTTTGACCAGGTCGGTTCGACCATCGCCAGGAGGACGAGGACGAGGAGTACGAAGGGGAGCGAGGTTGAAAGCAAAGGTTGTCTGACATGCCTTTGGGTCGTCGGACGTGACGAGGAAAGCCTGGATCCGTTCGGCCTCGACGTCAGGTTCTGACCGAAAGCGAAAACGTCACCTCGCTGCTCTTCCACCTCCCTTCCCTCCCTCGGTTTGGATCTGTTTCGGGTGTTATTTGGCATGTTTTCTCTCTCTCCCTCTCCTCCTCTTCACTCCTTTTCGTCTTGGCCCTTGAAGGGATGTTTCGAGAAGCTGAAATATGATGGGAATGGGTGGGTGGGTAATGTGCTGGTAGCCAAGGGATATGTGTACGAGAGAGTGTTTGTGATTGAGAGAAGGAGAGATAGGCCCTCGCAAGGGAAAAGTTTAATGGGCCAACCGCCATCCAACATCACTTTCCACATGGCCCATGCCATCAGAAACCAGATCATACGCGATCACCACGACGCCAGACTCGAGTGTGGAAGGGGTGGAAGAGGAAGGGAGCAATGCCTCCACTCCAACGTTTCATGGACACTCTTTCTCCCTCTCCGTCTCCCTCTGTCTACCTCTGGTACCTTCTCCCTCAGCTTTCCCTCCCAACCTCCCATTTTCACCCCTTCGCTCCGGACTCGTGTCTGAGCTGTGGACGCTTGCGTGTACCCGTCAGGTATCCTGGAATAGAGAGAGGGGGTTTATCTTTCTCCTCTTGTTCACCCTCCTTTCACCACCTTTCATCTACCCACGCTCCCTCGCGTTCGCCTTTCTACCCTCCCTTGCCACTCGACGACTCCTTCGCTCCCGGCTAGAATCCTTTGCTCTGCATTTGCTCTCCACCTTTCCCTGTCGTCTCAAGATTGGGTCCAACCTCGAAGGAGAGGCCTACTTCTGTGGTTGCCATGTCTGCCTCACAGTCCCTTATCCCCTACATACACCATGGTAAGTATTTTCTTTCTTCCCCCCCCCCCCCCCCCCCCCCCCCCCCCCCCCCCCCCCCCCCCCCCCTCCCCCCCCCCCCCCCCCGGTTATTTTTTTTTTTTTGCCCCCCCCCCCCCCCCCCTCTGATCTTACTTCTTTGCCACATCGCTCGCTCGCTTCCGCATTCTTGAAACTCAAATTTCCCCTTTTTCTGACGGAACTCATGCCGCCGCCACGATACCAACCCTCTCTCTCTCTCTCTATTCCCTCACTTTTACTTTTCATCCTCTTACCTCTTCTGATCTCCCCGTAGAGAGGCAGGAACCTGGCAGTATGCTGTGCGCGCAGCATGCCCTCAATGCTCTTCTACAAGGCAACTACTACGACCCATCTCAATTGGCGTTGGTAACGGATCATACCTTTCCTACCTACCTACCTGGCCTTCTCCTCCATCCCCCCCCCGCTCAACTTGATCTGATCTGACGCATGCGAATCCTCGCCCATCTCCTCATCTTTTCCTCTTGGCGTGACAAACCACAGTGATATTGCGAATGACTTGGACGTCAGGGAGCAATCCGAACTAGGCCTGAGCTCGACCGATGTGGCCAATCGCGAACGTTCCAGTCTCAACATGGACGATACCGGTTTCTTCAGCGTCACCGTTCTGGAAAAGGCTCTTCAGGTTTGGAGCTTGAGGTGAGAGATCTCTTGACCTAACCCCCTTTTTTCCGTTACCTATTCTTAGCAAGGATCCCTGAATCTCTGGGTCTAAGCAGTATTCTCTCATGCCATTTCCTCCTTTTTTCAAACATCACGCATGGTCTCAAAGCCTGACGAATTGGAGATCGGAGGAAATGAGAGATAGGCAGTCCTCACCCGAGAATGAAAGAGCCTTCGTCCTCAACTTGGAGAGTCACTGGTTCACCATCAGGGCTTTCGGCTCGAAGGGCAATTTCTGGTGAGCTCCTCCTCCTTCCTGTATGTGCTCCATCTCGCGCATTTTCCGGACTAAGCTGGATTTCCCATCACCTTCTCTTTCGCAGGTACAACCTGAACTCTTTCCTGCCTCAACCGAGCTGGGTCGGCAAAAATTACCTTGGCTCGTTACTTCATGCTGTGAGAAACTTCCCTACATGGCCTTTGGCCTTTCCTTTCTAATTCTCTGCTATGAATGCGGTCTCGTGCTAGTTGCTCACGATTCCCATCTCGCATTTTTCCCACCCTCCAGGCTGAGACGGAAGGCTACTCGGTCTTCGTAGTTCACCCAAGCCCTGGCTCAGTCGCTTCCGCACTCAACTCGTCGAGCGCCGACGAGATGGCCGACACGCTGCCTCCGCCCGGCACCACGTCCTCGGCGTCCGCCTCAGCCCCACTAGCAAGCCAGGGACTAAGACCAAACGCCACCAGCAGTCACTTTGCGTCCATCGCTGGCGTACGGGACGAAGAGGCCGAACTTGAGGCCGCCCTGAGAGCAAGCCTCGCCAACTCTCGGGCTCCTCCGTCAGCCTCCTCATCAACTTCGGGTCATTGGACTTCGACTTCTCTCACATCCTCCGCTGGCCAGAGAAGAGCCAGGAGTGGGAGCGGTGCAGAGTCTGTGAACGAAGAGGGCTTCGAGACCGATCAGGACATCGACTCCATCGCGCCGACAAGACAACGCGTAAAGAACGCCGTCTCGGGCCCTGCCTCGGCTGCAGTACCTGTATTCGCCTCGTCATCTTCCTCCTCTTCCGCCTCCTCTCCATCTGCAAATGTCTTCCAGGCCGTCCGCAATTCAAACAGGAACGTATCGACTCCGCCGAACCTGGTACTTCCTCAGGCGAGTGGCGGGAGGAGGAGGGCGAGCAGGATGACTGGTTCAGACGACGAGGACGAGCAACTGAGGAGAGCCATGGAGGCTAGTCTGGCAGCTTCTTCGTCATCCCCCTCGGTTCGAACTCAGAGCATTAGCAACGGTCCCAACGTCGTCAGATCCAGGAGGGGAGGAACCATCACGGCGTCCGGGAGCACATTGGAGAGCGCGATCCGTTTGGACTCGGATGAAGAAGAGACAGGCGGCGGAGCAAGACGGTTGAGGAACGACTTCAACCTGATCTACAACGACGAGGCCGACGACACGATAGAGGCGACCCCCTCGAGATCCCCCTTCCTCAACCCGTTGGCGATGGGTGCAGGGAGGGAGGATGACGACGTCGAGGAGATCGAGAGCGAGATCGAGGATGACCTCATCGACGACGAGCGCAGAGATCCTTTCAGCTTTCCGGGAGCCCCCGAGGCCAGCTCGTTGATAGGTCCGACCACGGATAGAGCCTACGACGACGAGGACGCCGAACTCCAAGCGGCCCTAGCAGCTTCGCTTGGGGACGAGTCTGCGGCGGCCGCCTTCGCAGCCTCGGCCTCGTCCAACTCGGCGGAGAGGAGGTCAGCCTGGGAGAGCTTTACGAAAAGCGAAAGGGAAAAGGAGAGCCCTACTCCCGCCGATGTCGATAAGATCTCAAAGATGAGGGAGGAGGCCAGGAGGAAGGAGCGAGAAGAGAGGGATAGGGAGGAGAGGATAGCCAGGGGCGAGAACGTCAGTCCCGTCGCCGAAGCAGGTGGACGCGACAGGACCAAGCAAAATGGTGGAGACGACGATGATGACGAGGAGGAGGAGGAGGAGGAGGAGGAGGGGGAGGAGCAAGTCAGCCCAGAAGAGATGAGGAGGAGGAGGCTGGCTCGTTTCGGTGGTTGAAGCTCGTCACTGTACTTGTCTCGGTTGACCTCTTTCCTTCTCGTCTTCTTCTTCCGTTCGCTTTCCTTTTCACTTTTATTTTCATACTGTTACCTCTCATCTGCGACGAAAGCAAGCGATAATCAACCTTTTCCCCTCCTTTCCCCACCCATGGATTTGATTGAGTCGGAACCTGTTCATCATCTTTTTCTGGGAAAGCGTGAGAGGCCCGTGATTCACCATCGGGTTGGCGTGCGGCTGAAGGTTTGGGGAGCTGCTGGGCGTACTGATATGTCCAAGACACCAAAACGACCGGGCGGGTTGGTCATGCTTTGTTTGTTTTCGTTGAGGGGATGAAGAAGAGGAAGGAGGGGAAGGCAAAGTGAAAAGGAGTTGAAAATAATAAAAAGAATGTAAGAGGGAAGAAAAAGAACGACGACTACAGGATTTGAACCTGTGCGTGCAAAGCACAATTGATAATCAACTTGAGGGAATCGCCTGAGCGTTCCATATTCGAATCAATCCCATTAGACCACTCTGGCAAGTCGCCTTCATGACCATGAAAGTTTATTTAGCATATATATACTCAAACAATATGTTCATCCAAGATGATCCGAACGATCAATCATTAACACCTCCCCCTCGGTTTTAGGTGGCGTGGCAACGTGTCTGGAACGGGAGGATGAGAAAAGGTAGCGGGAGGGAGGGGGGGGGGACTATGGAAAAGGTGGCTCCGAAAGGCAACCTCCTCGTCATCAGCTCTCGTCCGGGGATGGTAGCATCTGGCACCCCCCTTACTCCTTTCCCCCTATCTTTTCGAGGTTTTTCGAACCGACACCTAGGGCAAGGGTCTCCTCTCCTCCCGACTGCCTGTATCCGACAGAGCTCTTCTCCCTCTTGGCAACTTTCCACCTCCCTTCTCTCCTTGGCCAATGTGACGTGATAGGCTCAGTTTTTGTTTAAATTTTTTTCCAGCCTTTCTTGTCCTTTTTTCCCTTTTTTTTGTCGCAGGATGAAACGTAAAATAAACAGACGCGAATACATCTCCGAAGAAACCAAACTTGTTTGCGCCTTCAAAGGTGATCCGATCTCAGATTTGGCCTCATCTCGTCCATGACAAACCAATGCCAAAGATGGGATGAGACCATTCCGAAGAACATATCACCGCTCAAGTGTTCCTGTCATCTTGATCGGGGCCACCTCCGCATCGGCGAAGGAAGAAAGCACACTCCATAGCAGACGCCATCTTTCATTTGTTTGTGTTCTCAAAAAAAAAAAAACAAAATATATAAAAAAAGATCTGGTCAGTTCGGACATCGGAAGGCTGGAGCAGAGAAAATGTCCTCGCCCAGATTCACCAAGCCACAGCTGCATGGACTTTGGATGGAGTCCTCCGTTGCGGATAGCACAGTTCCGCTCACCTTTCTCCTCATCAGCGGACAATGTGGCCCAGGCTTCGTCAGTGCGCAGGCCTTAAACCCGTCGCGTTCTGATCTCGCAGCTGAAGGGAGATCGAGTTTGGATTATTTACAAAGGTACATTATATATGATAAATAGGTTACGGAAAACATGAAGGCAACTTGCCAGAGTGGTTATCGGGTCAGTTTCGAATTAGGTCATTTAGAGCATTACCACGAGTCGTTAGCTGATGTGCTTGCACGCACAGGTTCGAATCCTGTAGTTGTCGTTTCTTTTTTGGTTTTTGTTGTCTCCGCACTAATGGCAACACCTTTCTTTTGGACTGCACACGACAGAACCTCCACTTGACCCGAAGTCAGGCCAATGAAGTATTTGTTCCTTCCCCTCCACCCAAGCCCGGATGTCACTCGGCAGAGACGATCGTGATTAGAGTCACTGGTTGGTCAGTGAGAATAATCCAACCGATCTTAGTGGGCGCCTCTTTCCCTTCATGCGGGCCAACCTTGACCCAAGCAACTGCCCTCTCCTCTTGGTCCAAACATCACATAACCTGCCTGACCCGCCTTTCCTTCCTTGTCACCACCATCACTACCCCCATCAACCCATCGAACGTTACACACCTAATCACCTTACCCTCTTAATCTTGCTTTGTACTTAAAGGATCACCATCTCGCCCAAAATGCCAAAGACCGCAGGTTTGTATCTCTCCAGAGTCATGGGTCGAACCCTCTCCACAAGGTCCCTCCCCAGCGTCTTCCCCAGTTGGATACGGCTTCGTCAACCAGGCTCCTCCCCTGCTCTCTTGAGCTCTCCTGGCCCCGGTGAAGTGCTCGCAGCCATCCGAAACCCAGCATTTTCACACTCGCACACTCGCGTCTTCTCCTCCTCTCCCGTCCCACGCTTTCTCCTGACCTCTGTGAACCTGATGCCCCAAACTGCAGAGACCGCGAGCTACAGGTTCAACCAGTGAGCATGAATGAATCTCCCTCGTCGATAGACCGACAGGGCTGAACCCGAACGCTTTCGCTGCTGAACATGCTCCAAAAAGTTAAATTGACGAAACCAAAACTAAAACAAAACATCCCCCTCTGGACAGCACCATGATCCGTGTCAAAGATCCAAAGGTCTCTCTCGATTTTTACGAGAACGTCCTCGGAATGGACCTCATCGACACTCACAATGGGGGTGACTTTACTCTGTGAGCTTCACTTTTAAAGACCAGAGTCTGGCCCAACCTTTCGCGCAAAAGGATACGTTCCGAACTTGACTATGGGGACTACAACGCCCTTCTCTCTCCCGGTGCCACCGATCGCCTCCAAAGGTACTTCCTCGCCTACTCCCACCAGGATGGAAAGTCTCGCGGCGAGAGGGAGGCCATCCTCGAGCTCACTCACAACCATGGTACCGAGAATGACGCCAGCTTTGCCTAGTGAGCAGCACATGACTCATGGTCGACATCCGGGATGGATCTAGGGTATACTGACCACGAATCTGCATACATCTCGTCCTCCCTCCCTCACTCATCGAATCATTCCCCCACACACTCTTTCTATCCACCCCACCCCCTCTGCTTCTCACTCCTCACCCCTGCTCCCTTTTCCTTTCCCTTGCTTAGCCACAACGGCAACCAAGAGCCAAAGGGTTTTGGACACCTGGCAATCTCCGTCGACGACCTCGAGGCAGCCTGCGAGAGATTCGAAAAACTCGGAGTCAAGTTCCAGAAGAGGCTCAAGGACGGGAAAATGCACAACATTGCTTTTATCCTCGATCCAGGTTCGTTACCAAAGCGCAGTCATGGTACTGAACGGATTCACAAATTGAGAGCTAACGTGGATCGTGTTGTCACCCCTCCCTGGCCCCTTGCGCCCGACAGATAACTACTGGATCGAGGTCATCAGCACCAAGAGGCCACAGTGAGCCCAAGCGTTTGTTGTCTCAAAACCTGGCCCCTTTGCCTTTCGACCTTGGAAGAAAAAGGTTGACTCTGGAGGTCATACAGATTTGTCGAGTCTAATGCTGTCGGAACGACATCCTCACGCCTCTCGCCCTCCGCCGCATTCCCCCTTGTTCCTTCTTCTGTATCACTGTGCTCGATTCCGATGCAACCATTGCGTAAAAGACGGGCGAGGGTCTGATCGACCCTCGTATTAAATCCACCGCGACAAGGGTCGAACTTTTGCGATGTCTAGCGAACGAGTCAAGATGGTCAATTCAATCGCGCTACGAGGAAGCCGCATACACAGTGTCGATTCAGTGGGGGCGGGGCGATGCTCAATGCCCGATCCTGGCATCACAGGGCAAAGTATCGCCTCTACCGAGCTTTGAGAAGTAGTACCTCTCAACCATGCGTGTGGAGACGTGACGTTGGTATCACTATTGGGTTCAGATCGAGTTTACGCAGTTGCGTTTTTTTTCTTCTCTTTTCTCTCTTTTCTCTCTTTTCTCTTTTTTTTTCTTTCTTCGTTTCCCTTATTTTTTATTTTATTTTATTTTGTTTTGTTTGAGAGAGTAAAAGAGACATCAGCGACAGGAAAGGCCTCTCTGATCCAGATCTGGAAGGAAGAAGAGAACCATTCACGCCAAGGGTTCCGCAAGTTGCCGCGACTCGACGGCCTTGGGAGACAAGTCGCTCAAGCTCGGGTCCGTCCTGTTGCCAACCTCGTGTTGCCTTAACTTTTTTTTTTTTTTTTTTTTTTTTTCCCAGTTCAGCTTGAAATGAATCCAAGCTCAAGGCAAAAAAAACGGCCACGCGCATCTACCCCTCTGTTCTCCTTCCAATCGAATCGGTTTGCGAAAGAAAAATCGCCTGCTGGTTGATGCCGGCGAAGATGCTTCCTTCTTGTCGCGCATGTTGCTGGGTGTTTTGATGTTGGGATGGGGGGGAAAGATGTGGAAAATAATTTGCTAGCAGTGGCAACTTTTGGGCGGCGTTGCTTGAACTAGGAACTCTGTTGCCTTCCACAGTCGCGGGGCTACGGCCACGGGAGTTGCGTAGTTGCGTGTTGGAGGAGTGAGTCATCCTCCGTTGTTTTTCGACTTCTGCATAACACACACACGGTCGAGTCCCTTTGCAATTTGTAATGCCGTCGTATTCTACACACTGCATGCACACGATTTCTTTTGTTTTATTTTATTTAATTTTGGGGGGAGGGGCGCCACTGTCCGCTGAACCCTCGAAGGAAGAGAGCATGATACTGGATCCAAGGTAAGAGGAAAGTGCTTGGTCAAAGGAAGGGGGATGGCTGGTCAAGAGGGAAAGTGTTGTGGATGAGGTGGAGAGAGGACGTTCCCGGGAGGAAGGAAAGGAGATCTGGCTTGTGGCGTGGGAAGCGGTGATGGGTCTTGCGGAGAGAGAAAACGGATTCACAGAAGAAAAATAAAATAAAATAAACTAAAATGAAAGAAAGAAGAAGAGGAAAAACCCGCAGCGCCAACCCCTTCTTTGACTGTGTGACTGTTCACAACAGGCCGAAGTGGATGAGTCTGATCCGGGAAAACCTATCTCACCAGAGTGGGAGCGCAACTCACCGACATCGAGTCTGACCATCTTGACCCTCCCACCATCCCCTTCCCTCGTTCCACGGGGCCGTGCTCTTGCAACCTTTCTACCTCAAGCCGATCCTGGCTTACCGGTGTCCATTCTGATCCACAGATGCTGGGTGAAATGGATTGAAAAGAAAATGAGAGACGGAGACAGACTCTTGGCTTTTCTTGCCATTTCTTCCCCTTCTTCTCTTCCGCCCTGCCGTCTTTTTTTTTCTTCCTTTTCTTCTTCTTCTTCCATCCTTTCCCCCTTCCCAATCCTTTCGAACCACCTTCCGCAACTAGCAAGCTCAGTCTCCCTCCCTTGTCCACCTTCACAAGACGATGATTGGCGCCTGCCGTTGATTTTGCCGATGTGGATCGAGGGAGGGTGGGGGAGGGGGAAGTAATGCGGCTGAATCGTACAAGTCAGAAGAGAAGGAGATCTAATGGGACAGGTGTGTGTGCCACTGTTCATTCACATTAATGAATCGCACCGACACGGAGGAAGACCCAAATGAATGAACAAGGAAGTCTCTTTTTAAGAGTACGGATGATGATCATTTCAGTGGTATTGAGAAGGATTGGTTACCAACAATAAGCCTTCCGTCTCTCACCCACTCATCACAGTGAGTTGTAGCAACCAGATTCGTGGGATGCCTCTTACTTCTCTCCGTCCACATCTCCAAGAAGAGGAAGGAGGAGGAGGAGGAGGAGGAGGAGGAGGGGGAGAAATGACCGGCATCTAATTCATCCTTCCCGTGTATCGGATGAAGCTATTGAGGGCGGTCTTTTTGCCTGAGAGATTTTTCATTTCTGTTTTCTCGAGCCGCCCCTCTTTTCGTCAACCACCTTCCTTTCTGTTCCTTTCCCCTTCTACGGCTGGTCAGTGACCCGAAAGATTCCCCCCTCCTACAACAAAGAAAGAAAAGAGAAAAAGAAAGGGAAGGGGGAAAAGAAAAAGAAAAATAGGAAAAGTAGGAAGGGCCGAGGCAAAGAAGTAGGAGCAAAGCGGGCGGAAGGGGGGGGTCCTCAAATGAGGAGGGGGTTCAACAAGCGTCAATTCACCATGACTTGGCTTGTGGCTTGAGAGAGAAGGGAGAGTGCAAAGGAGATAGTGAGAGAGAGAAAGGAGGAGGGGGGGGGGTAGAAAGACTCTGTGATGAGTATTGATGTTTCTCCGATCCAACCCCCCTCCGTGTTCCTACTTGCTTGGGTTCGTGGATGTGCGTTGATTCAGATCATGACAGATTTCATTTTGCTGCTTTTTTGGATTCTTCTCCAAACATGCATCACCTCTCCCGCCCACATCTTTCGTCGTCACACTTCTTCTACCCATCCGCCGTCTTTTTCCCTTCACCGTGGGGAAGTCGAACGAACGACAACTTGGCAGGGGTTGCTATATAGTTGTACATGCGTAGTCGGTAGATGGAATAATCAAAGAAGAAAAACCCGAGTGATCTCTTCCACCTCTTCCCCCTCAGGTTGGTGAGCCAGCTTTCTTCGAAGAACCCCCACCCACAACTCCACCCCTTACGACAACATTACTTCTCACCCTGTCATCCTTCCAGATCAAGGACGGTCCATCTTTCGCTCGGAGATATCCAGTACCTGCAGCTCGAGCCCTCTTGTGACGTTGAGACTCTCTAGCATCTCTCTCTTTCTCTGCTTCACCTGACAACCGCCACACGTACAATCCCTCCGCTAAACTTGAGGGATCCTCTCTGACTTCCGGAGGTTGGCTTC